AAGATAGATTACAGAGTCCCGTATCCTAAAATGTCAAATTTTTTATTTACGCATGCATTATATACCAATCGATAAAGGACAATCAACGCCCAGCGGAACGTAAAAATCGATTGGTGCCTAAACAGTCGAAATTTAAATTAATGAATTCGGCTATATGAAACGATCGATAAAATATGATAAAGAATGGAAAAGTCGTTAACAAGACCGAATCCGAATGAACATGGAAAGCCAGAGATTGATCCATTGGGGGTACATGAGCAATTAAATAAAATCGTTATATTGATCCTTTTTTTTTTTTAAGAATTGTATACTATCAAGAAATTATGTTTAGCGTTTTGTAATAGCTGTACACTAATTTATTCGCTGTGTTAAAACGTCGTTGTATTTATACGAGACATCTCTTGGCGAATGATCGCAGGTCTACGAGGGCGAAAGAAATGAGAATGGTGAGAGGCATGGAAACGGAAAGACTTTGCTATCAAATGGTGACATGTATGTCGGTCAATATCGTAACGGATTTAGGCATGGCAAAGGTATCTACGTATTTAAAAACGGTGCCCGATATAACGGCGATTGGAGAGACGGACAGAAATACGGGCAAGGGATCTTTTGGTACCCTGATGGAACGCGATACGAAGGTATGGAAGAATGTACAAAAATAGGATCCGAATCAGACTCGAGGAAGTCACACAGTAAACATGTGGACATGTCGACACGTCCATATGTATATTCATACAATTATTTTTATGTCGCACGTCAGAAATCTTAGAGATGCTAAGAGTGTGCCAGGAATTTTCGAAAGAGGTAAATACGCGCGACAAGTTGCGACAACTCGAGATCTTTGCTAAGATCAACCTCGATGACACTTGACTTTGATTGGCAATAATTATTCGTTACAGATAAAATTCGATGATGTGTTAAATATTAATCTGCTTAGGAGAATGGAGACGCGACGCGAAGCACGGTTTTGGTATTTATTATTATGTGAACAATGACATTTACGAGGGCTCGTGGAAGGATGATCTTCGTCATGGTATAGGAGCATATTTATACGCTGACACAGAGACGAAATTTATGGGGACATGGATGGAAGACTGCATGCAAGGACCCGGACAACTCATTCATGCGCGCTATCATTTTCATGGTTTTTGGAAGCTGAATTTGGTACGGAATGAAAACAGAAAAGTAATCGTGGCGCGTTGATTATACACATACCTCCAGATCACGAGTCCCGAGTAGAATAAGAGCATCTCATTTATAAAAGCCTAGATCAATGTTGTCTAAGATTTGTAATTCTAAGCATAAACTTGACGTATGTCGGCGCTTATCTTTATCAAGAAAAAAAAGCAATAAATAAAAATATACATCAAGCCAATGCTTAGAATTATAAATCTTGGGCAGCATTGATCAAGACCGAAGAATATATATTTAATTAATAGAGATATTATGCACGATACAGCCGTACGGACGTGGTTGCTTCACTTTTGAAAACGTGTGTATGCAGCATGGTCATTATATACATGTGAGAGATCCCATGTTTGATGGCTCAACTTTGATAAACACGGATAAAATCATGGTGGAAGTAAAATTCTCTTAATGAAGTTTCTATGTCGTTTTTTATCCGAGCTTAAATATTCCATATTTAAAATATCTTAATATATATAAAATATGTTACATATGTGTATATATTTAATAAAAAAACAAAAATTAATAAAACAAATATCTAATATTAATATGTTTTAAATAATATACATTATATGTATATTATTAAAGTATATTATATTATAGATTATATTACACATTATGTAAATAAATAACATGTATATACATATATATTACAAGAAATTGTATAATGTAGGAGAACGATAATGACGACAAAACGTTGAAAGAATCATCCCCGAAAATGGGCTTTCTACCGATATGGCGCGCGCGTTGTATTACTCCTTATAACCCTGAGTTATTGCCACCGGAAGCAGAACCCCTGCGAGAAGAAGTAATTAAAATCGTAATCACGTATATTTGATAATTCGAATATTACATCGTAATTATCCTTCATGCGAGCTGTTTTAATACATGTATACCGATACGTGGGCGACGCTGATGTCGATAGGAAATTGATAAATCGATTAATACAGGTAGATTTTAGAGTTTTACAGCATCGACGCTTAGTTATATTTGTTTCATTTCGGAGATAGGTAACTACGAAAACGGATTAATATTGGATAGCGGAATTGCGAGTTCGCGATCTATCCAATCATCTTTCTCTAAAGGGGGTAGGATTTCCTTAATACACTGTCTGCGTCATCGGAAGCGGAAACGATTCTTCCGGTAAAATGAATTTTAATCGACCGCTTTATATTAACGAGACTAGCGAATATCCGGTAGTTATTTCCAGCGCGTCGCCAGACTATGGACTTCCGTAATCATTAATAGAATTACGATATCCGGGCAGAGGATAGTCTTTCTTTTCAAATTATGTTTATGTCACTTCTCGTTACTCTGACATGATATATCACTGGTATCCGATGGGATTATAAAACTTAACGTAATATATCCCGGAACGTTTCGTCCTGACAAGATATCGTGTTCGCGTAGGTGTCAACGGATTCCTCGATCAACAAAGACGAAGGTGATGTTTGGTCAAAAATCGAAGGGTCCTCCGATTATCCGGAAGAAGATTATCGCGAAGAACATTATCAGGAAAAGGCATCGTTTCGGGACGACAGTCTTTGATTGTGATGAAATACATGAGCTGCCGGCTCCAAGCCGTCGATTAATCAATTTGTGAACGTATACATACTCTTCTTGTATTATATTATACATAATATGCTAATTTTCTTCCGCATAGATAATGTAAAACAAAATTAAACGAGTATGTTTTTATTACTAATTTTAAAAAATAACGCCTTATAGTTTTATTGTTATTTAAAAAGAAAAGATTCGTTACTTTTTTGTAATGCTAAAATAAGATATTAAATATAAAACTACATTATTTAATAATTTTTATTTAATATTGATTGTAACAATCAATATTACATAAATACAACTTGAAACTCTAAGCTAGTCTGTATTAGTTTTTTCTTTATATTAAACTTATTTAATAAATCTTCTGTAATTCCTTATGTTAATATTTTTGTTTTTTAATAAATGCTTATCTTTAGGAATTTAAATTGTAATTTACAAATTTTATTAAAAATTTTTATTAAACGTTTTTAAACATTAATCTTATTATAAAGAGCGCATTCTAAATTTATTTTATTAAATAATGCAATCTATCGAATAGATATCAAAATAATAAGTGATTAAAATAACGATAAAGTTAACAGTTAAATTCGTTACTTTAATCACTTATTATCTTTATATCTATTCAATAGATTGTATTAGTGATACACATATATGTGCGCGTGCGTGTGTATATATTTGCAATTAATTCGCATTATATACATATTTTTTTAAATATATTAAACGCGAAATTGAAAGCGCAAGCTCGGTTATTGTATATAATCGAAATACAAGCACGTTCATGAGCGCGTCACAGCTACACGGGCACGATTATTCTCTGTGCTTGCTACTTTATAGGATAGGTCAAAAAGTTCTCGGCCTGACATAAAACGACGCCATAAATATCAAACTGTTATAATTTTTAGAAAAATTTGATCCTGCATAGGACAATTGTTAAAATATTCATTAGCTTCTTTGTTTCGGTCGTATAAAGCAACCAACTTTTGATTCCATCGTAACAATGCACCCGCTCACATTTCTTCAATTGCAGTCGAAAAATTCCATGAATTGGTTCCATAAGATCAGATTTTGTAAAATATGGTACATGTACCTGTGTGCGAAATAAATTCATGGAATTTTGCGACTACAATTGAAAACATACGAGCAAGTGCATTGTCTTGATGGAATAAAAAGTTAATTACTTTACACGAAACAAAGAAACTAATGAACGCATCTGAAATTTTAACAGCAATTCTGTGTAGGATCAAACTTTAAAATTATACCAGTTTGATATTTGTGGCGTTATTTCTGTATCAGGCCGAGAACTTTTCGAACTACTTTTGTATGTCTATGTCTAACTTATAACTAGTTTTATACTCAGGATAATTACATTTACAAAACGTAAGAGTTAAAAGAGGAAGACTAAACTTCAGTCAGGAAAAGTTGATAAACTTATACGAAAGTGGGAGCAACATTAGTATTGAGTTATATACAGCGATATTCGATAATATACTTGATAATATAATCATTTAATCGAATCACAAATTTAATGACGTCATATTACACGACTCGGCAGAGCATGCTGATTTTTAGAGAGTAGCAAGTCCCCACAATACTGGCAAATACTATTAATTTTAGTTTTTAAGATAAACACGCAAAGAAAAACGCATATACATATGTACTTTTCTAGTCGATTGCTTCGCGCGACTTATTTAGGATTGTCACAGAAAATAAATTTTAAAATTTCCTGATTTTTCCAAGTTTTTCAGATCAAATATATTTAATAGAAAATGTATCTTAATTATAACAAAGTTTAATTAAAGTGAATTTATATTAAACTATACAGAAATTAAAACAAAAATTATATATATAAACTTGACATTGTAAGAAATATCCAATTTTTATATTTAAAAAGGAATTATATTTCCTTTAATATAATGACCGATACATGACTTAGTATACAGTTTGAAATATTGATTAAGAAAATCAGTATTTGATCACAATTGTTAGATATATTATTTAAAAAATTATAACAATATATATATATATATAAATATTATTTGGAATGAAAATATTTTAATAACTCAAAAAATTCCAGACTCTTATATTTTTCCCTGATTTTTCTAGGTTTTCCATGACCAATTTAAATTTCCACGACTTATTCCGGTTTTCCAAATCTGTGACAACCCTCGTAAAAAAAATGAATTACATCAAGAAGATTCTATAGAGATTTATCAAGACGTAAAAGGACGGAGGACAGGGCGAATAAATACATAAAATTGTCACGTAAGAGATCGCAGTCTTTTAAATAGGTAAGTTACAAGTCATGAGTGAGTAGAGTGCGTACTATATTATAGTCAAGTCCGTAAAGGTCATAAAGTGCTTACCACAGATAAAGTGTTATCGAGAAAACGATGCGATGTCTAACATTTATATCGTAAAATTATATTAGACCGTCGTATCAAAGCGTCGTCAACTGTACTAAGCATAGTGCGAGTCGCGCATTCGCATTCGGCTCGTTCTCCGTACGAGTTCTGAGTGAGTTTACAAACGAATTTGTAAAATCTGTGGCGCACTGGCGCTAGCAACATTGTGATAGCAAAATACTTTGGTCTGCGACTTCGCGTCCACTTGGCACAAGATAAAAAAAATTCGCGAGTAACGCGACGTACACACAGCCCTTGATCTGGTCGAAGCGACTCTGTTTTCCTTTCGCCTCTAATCCCGGCTTTATCGAGAGGTTTCAAGAGAGATAACCGACTTCGATGTATGTTTCACCGCATTTCTTACGGCGTTAGGGATATCGTCACAACAGTCGAATTACTCAATAAGCTATTGCACTCGTTTGCGCATCGTGAGAAGTCATTTATACGATCTTACTTGAACTTGGATCTTGCTTGAACTTGGATCGCGCGCCGGTGCGTCTAGTGTGTGCGTTTAACGTGCCAACGATTTTCTTCGAAGTCGTTTAAGCATCTCAGGTACGTAAACGTGGACGAAATTTGCACTTTGTCGCGCGAAGCGACTCGTTTCACCGAGCAATGGTGCCAGCTCTTGGCGAGTGACTCTCTCTCTTTGCTCCTAAAATGAGATTTTTTTTCCGCTTATACGGCACATATCTATATACAAGTTCGATTTCAACTTCCGATCATTGTTAATATAAATATAAGAATGAGCCGTTTGTATTTTATCGATTAGCGAAGAGGAACGTTGGATGATGTCGATGGTACCTCGATACAGAAAAATCGAGTGCATACAATGCAAAATTGCGCATACTTATCATCCATAGCGTGTAGACAATAGGAGTTCTTTCGTTCGATAAATACCGTTCTGATTATGTCAAATGTAGATTGTAGATGAGCGTCATTTCAGAGATGTCGACACAAAGCGACTAAACAACGTTATCTCACATCAAATCCGATGGCGGTCTCTGAAACGCAATACTAGCTACGGAAATGCTGCACAGGCCGGCCGTTATGATACCCATGCATATGTAGACCGACGTAATTAGCCAGAAGGCAAATAAATATAGTGTCTTATTGCAATACTTCCCTAATGCTGGATCATAGTTTGGCTCATATTCCTTGTATACCCACATAGAACCTGTAATTAATAAATTTATAAGATTGTTCTTGAAAATACCCAGTACAATTAATTAACAAAAGAAAATCAAAAATTATATAACAACAAATAACAGTTTCACTGAAATTTTTACTGAAACAATTTCCTGAAAATTCCTAGATTTTCCAAGTATTTTTACTAAAAAATTTAAATATGGAATTTTTAAGTGTAATTTTGAGATGAATTGGAATGCAAACAATTTGAACAAATCGTGTATTAGGAATAGAGTATATATACGTATACAGTATACACACACACATATATATATATATATATATATATAGAGAGAGAGAGAGAGAGAGAGAAATATACATATACTGGAATGTACCCTATAATTAAAAATTTGACACTGTCAGTGAAAGCTTAAAAATCAGCAATAGTAATATGATTACCAATAATGAACCATCCCAGCATAAAACAATTGATCAGAGTCTGTGTAGGCGATTGTCTAATCCTTTCCTCATCTCTTTCTTCTTGACGTTGTCGTACTCTAGCCGACAAAGTTAATAATTGCTTAAATACTCCAAATCCACCGCCTACTAACAAGTATACGGGAATGTATTCACCCTGTGGACAGTCGTAAAGATACAGTCCACCGATCACCATCATACAAATTGGTACCACTATCGTTACTCCAAGAATGATGGTACATCCAACTGGAAAATAACGATTTTACATTTTGTATATAGTTATTAAAGTTTTTTTAAAGTATTTTATTTTCATCCTTTCATCTATCATCGATACTTAATAATCATATCGACTCACTTGTGCCTAACAGCAGGACAACAATATTTTTTAAAAAATCAAATATGCCTTTGGATATTTTACGGGCTTCTCTCATACGACCAAATAAAGAATCGTAGGACGGTGGTGGTGCTGGAAAAAAATACAGAGAGATAGACATATTTGATTTATAAATATATGGACTGCATTTGAAAATGTCACCTGGGTATCCCATAATATCATCTTATTTTTGTTTATCAACACTGGGTGAACAAGGATAAATCGATAGGTAGAGACACTCAGGCGACATTACCGAACGTAGCCATGAAGGTGCATATGCTACAAAGGTCTAGGATAACATACCATTAGGATCTATCGCCTCCTCGTACGAGGGTGGTGCACCACGTTCGTTGGTCAACGTGGAGGGATGACCGAGGGGTAAATTGATATTATGATAGGATGGTGGCGGAGTACAGCAAGTCGATGTAATCTGCGTGCTCGTGCCGGGATTTACGCCCTCCACCGTTGCGGTGGAAGCATTTGTGGCACGGCTAATCGAGCTCAAAGGCATTTCTTCCCGTGCAGCGCCGGTTACTGTCCTGTTCCAATACATAAGGCTCGCTTTCCAGACAGGTTCGAGGATACCAGCCCCCCTCGTCGCTGTTTACATTGGCGAATGCTGGCCTTTATAACCTAAAAACTCGCACGTTCAGAGATTCTTTGCCTCCCCTCGTCCCGGAGAGGGGAAGCACGATCTGCGAGAAGATCCTCGTTCTTCCTTATCCGAGGGATTTCGACTCACATTTACGAATCGAATAGGGAACGACGAGTCTCCGAAATCGTTTCAAAACGAAACCCCGAGATATAGCGTGTTACTTCCATATTCCACGATATAAGAAACAATTTGGGGCAACGTTTTGATTGGTCAAAGAGCAGCCGCCATGTTCAAGTGTTTGTGCATCTTCGGAAGTGGAATACCATGATCGAAGCCTTTACCGTGTTATCTCGGTATGTTGTTGGAAAACACCCCGTTTCTCTTGACTGTGTTCCAAAATTTACTGCCAGTGCTGAAAATGTATAGTATACGTAACGTAAACTGTAGATTTTCAGCGCTGGCAGTGAATTTTGGAACACGGTCCTTGGTACCTATTATGGAAATAATCGGAATGGATTCCGATCGGAAAATTATTTCGTTTTCCCCAGAAACGCAATAGAAATCTAGGGAATAATTGAATAATTCCGATCGGAATCCATTCCGATTATTTCCATAATAGGTACCCTAGTTGGAAAGTTCCCCATCTCTCCTTACAATCTAGTGATTTTAACTAGATTAGTATCATAACGCCATCTATCAAAATGTTGAGGAGTTTTGTTCACCCTGGACTCCCTGTTTTGCAAAAGTTTTCGATGAGATTACGACTGTAACCTCTTTCGATAAATAATATACAATATCATTGATAATTGATGTCAAATATGGCAACAAAAAAGATCAATGGATTATTTGTACCTTTTAATCAGTTATATAAACGAAATGTATTCATGGTAGATGCTATAACAAAACGCACATATGCAACCACTGATGAAGTAACTCATACTGGTCAGGTGAGATGTCCTTGGTTCAATCACATAAAAAATTTGTTACAAGATATTACTTTACTTGTTCAAATAACGAAATTCATATAGACCAGTATTACATCATACCCGAATTTATAAAGATATATTTATTATACTTATTAATTATTAGATAAGTAATGATTTTTCCAATGAGAACAAACTATCTGTAGTATGACGATAGAATGTCAACAGATTTGCAACAGATCTAATATCATTTGTATTTGTATCAAAATCATATTTTGTCAACAGATCTTGTCAATATAGATTGCATTTTATAAAGCGCATAATGCATATGATGTATCATCTTATTCTTGTTTACTAAATATTAAAAGATAAGATGATACACCACTTGCTTATGGAACTGAGTCATAATCAATAAATTATTGGCAGAAACTGAATAGGATCTACTATTTTAGGTCAGTTTTTTGTGGTTGAATTAGTATATACTTTTGGAACTTAAAGTGAGACATGTTTGATATTTCATGAAAGCGAAAAAGAGAATTTTAGTGCAGTTTAGTGCAGGAATAAAAAACAAATCTTTTGTAAATATTTAATTGATTACGAAATAATAGTAGATTTTGCTCAATTTCTGTAGTCTGTTATATGTACTATTATATTTTATCATATTAGTGGATTTTATTATATTTCTACTGACATACTATCAAAAATTGATAGTAGATATTGTCATAATCTGCGAGGTTTGATTATCCGATTTGTGATTAAATTGTAAATTTTACTGTATATTCAAGATTTATTGATACTATATAAATATAATAAATCAAATATATATATAATTTTAATCATCATGAGTTCATTTTCAAAAAATATAGAGAACCATCTCTAATATTGTCCTTTATAACTTCTTTAATGAATGACTATGTATTTGTTTCTTTAATTATATGTTGTTATGCTTTATCAGGCATTTGAGAAAGGTGACTATCGATCAGTAAGGTTTTTAAACAGCCCAAAAGAAGTTAATAAAAATTGGGCAATTAAATTGATAGATGAAGTACCACCGTCTCCTAAAAAAGATAGAATTGTAGCTTGTGATGGTGGTGGAGGCCCTCTTGGACATCCTAAAGTTTATATAAATCTGGTAAGATTCATATTATTGTGTATGTGTTACAGTAAAAATATAAAGTACAGTAATTTTGTACACTTATATGTATACAATTGTACAAAACTTATATACATATAAATGTATACAAGTTTACGTCAAGAATATGTCTTTATCAGAAAATGTGATAGTGGGACTCTCTGTAATTACTATTTCATGCTTTTACTAACTATATGTAGAATACTTTTATTATATGTATTTCATTATTTGTTATTTAGTAATAATTATTTAAATATTAAAATAAATAAAATAGCATGTTACAGATTATGATAAAATTTTATTTCTAAAAAAGATTAAAACTTATTCTTTTATAGGATAAACCAGGCAATCATATTTGCGGTTATTGCGGATTGCGGTTTTATAAGGAGAATCATTAGATGATATGTGTATGTATATGAGTAGTATTATATTAATTGTTAATTTATAAGGTATATTTTAGAATGTCATGTTTGTTGTAATAAATGTATATATAAAATAAAACTGGCATGTAAAAATTTAATTTTAAAAAAACTGTTGTACCAACTTAAAAAGTAAAACCCAAGTAATACTATTTTTAATTATATGATGAAACCTATGTGATATATATGTAATAATATGAATATTTGGAAAAATATCAGTTTAAAAAAAAAATGTTTTAGATAGAAGTCGTAGAACTTAAAAAGATCTATTCACTAATTTTATCAGTTTGACCTTGGGTGGTGTCGCCAAAATCATATCAAAGTCACATCAATTTTTTAATTTTCATTTTTTATTGCGTATTTTTGTAAACTCCCTAGTATCTCTTCGGTGTTTTTGAATTTCAGACGTGCTCTTGAAAACTCAGCGAGTTGGCATCACTGATTGCAGTATTTTGCGGTTATGACAGATTTCCTAACCTAAGATAATCATCATTGTCATCAACTTTTAACAATTGATATCATGGTTTACGAGTCAGAACGACGTTTTATTTCTGCCAAATTTGTTCATTTCGTGCAAAAATGCATCGAATAAGTCCAATGAGTCTAATTTCATCAAACTCGGAGCTGGTTATGCTAAACTGAACAATTATTTTTTCTTTCACCAACATATTAAATGTATCTGAACAAATTATTCAAATTGAGTTCTATTTATGTATTTTAACCTCCCAGTTACAATGTGAGTATTACACAATAAATATTCTAGCCTCGAAAAATATCTATCAACCTTTAATATTCCAATTTTATATTACCTATATTCTTCTTAAACATATTTAGTAACTTTACTTTTACAGATACTGAATTTTAGAAGAAGTTAAGAATGATGAAAGTTTGCATATATTTGTTTAAAAGGCCTAAACAAACACAAAAGGTTTAAAGACAAAAAGTATCATTTCTAGTACAAAAAAATGAACAATCTTTCTGGACAATTCCGCAAGACAACATGGGATCCCTTTCTCATAATTTCTCAGATAATTGCTGTACAGACTATCATGTACCTTTGCCTTGGATTCTGGATTTGGATTGTTGCATCGTTGTTGGATTGGACAAAATCGTTGGATTATGTGTTTCAATATAAAGAAATACATGTTCGTGACTTTGGAGGACAATTAATTATTGTTATGTTTGTTCTGAATGCTTTTGTGGGAGCATTTGCATTATGGTGGCTAGTGCAAAGAACAAAATTATGCATGGACTTTGCATGTACAGCCCATTGCATTCATTTGATTTGTTGTTGGGCTTACAATGGTACTTATCCGACATCTTTCAGTTGGTGGTGTTTAAATCTCGTATCGTTAAGTATAATGTGCGTCTGTGGAGAATTTCTTTGTATGAGAACTGAACTGCAAGCTATACCTTTAAGTATGAATAGTCAAAAGATAGCCTTATGAGATAAAATTTGTCAATTGATAAAAGATGAAACTTACATAAATCTCTAATAAATATATTGTTATCATCAGTGTTAAAATTTGTTAAAACTACACATATATATGTATATAATTTAAATTTTAATATATTAAAGAGACATCCCAGACAACAAAAAGTATCTGAAATCATGTTATAAGACGTTTTTTGCATCTAAAAGACAACTTAAAGACGTCTTATGTCACAATTTTAGATTTTGTGTTTGGGATCTCCTATAGATTTCTTAGACATTTCTAAATGCAATCTTCTAATACAAATTTAAATATCAGTACTTATAGAAAGGTACCATTCACTAATTTTAATAGATTTTAACATAAATGAATAAATGTATAATAATAATAAATGTACAATTGATAATATATTTAATAATGATAAATTAAAAATCCCCAATAAGAACCAGGGCGGATATTGGTGTACAGATAAATCTATTAAAGTTTTTGAACTATTATAATTCGCAATACGCTAATTAGCGTATTGTGTATAATAATATGAATATACATAAATGTATATATTACCTAATTATACATATATAATAATTTTTTTATAAATTTAATGGGACTATTCTGAATGGTTTTCAAGACTTTCTTGCAGATAATATGTAAAAACGGTTATTTTCGGCTAAGTTTTATCTTGATTTACACCCTTCTCATATAAGGTAATCCTTCTGTATTACAATTCTTGCGTATAGTTTATTTATAAATTATGTCTCAATCAATAGAATAATTTCAATATCAATATAACAATTCATATTGATAATAAAATTATTATATCTTATTATTATAATATAATTTATTTGCTACTTATTATATTTAATAAATATTATGATTAATATATACTTTATATTAATTATAATATTTTAATGATATTATCAAAAATTCCAAATAAAAGGATTTTTATCTCAAACATCGATACATAATAAAACAAACAATAATGAACCTTGATATTTTCTTCCAACACATGACAATATCTTAATCTCTTTTTATAAACGATACATGTTACATGTACTATTTAGTGAATTAAGATGTATGTGTGCATATGTGTTAACAGATTCAGTTAATTAACACTGGACATAATTATGCATGTAACGTTAAAATGCAAGCTGAAAAATAATAAGGTTTATAATTTCTATAAAATGATTAAATTATTGTCGAACGAAATACACACACACACACACACACAGTAGGTAACATTTTTTTGTTATAAAAATTCGGTAAAAAAATGACAATCAGAAAAAGTTTCTAAAGAATTTGAAAGAATTTAATCTTCTTTATTAATATCAATCAAGAGAGTATATTAAAACAAATATTTTTTCTTTTAAATTCAAGTTCCGTAAAGGAAAAATATTATCCTGTACCAACTTTATGGAAATTGGTTTTCTGTTGAATTGGCTAAATTTTGAATATGTAATTCTCATCATTCTGAACAATTGTCTTTATGGGACCAACCTCTTTCTATAGCTAGATTTTTTTGCGCTACAAGTTCTGAAAGGTTCAGATTCAAGCCATTCTTTAAAACTTGGGTTTTCATATATTATTATAATATTATATCATTATTGATAAACAATAATAAACGATTTATTAATCTTTAGACTGCCGGCATTTTTTCATTAAAATAGTGATTCTTTTTTCTCAAAAATTTTTCTATATAAGTAACATATACGTAGCGCAAGATTTCGAGATTTGTGCAGATCCACATAAGAGGCTTTTTCCAGCAAGGAACATACGATCAGTTATAAAAAATGTTTATTTTCTCAAAAATAGTGTATTTTGGGGGTTTTTTGATATCGCTTGCAATTCTGAGCATAAATTTATAAAATTTCGAGTCCTAAGCGCAATATTGACTTATATTGACAATATAAATGAATATAAATGTATAGACTCAGAACTTTCCTTTAGCATTACCCAGAGCCAACGACGTGGATGTAGAAAGTTTGTAGCTCTTTTTTTATTTTCTTTTTTTAATTTTTTAGTTTTTTTTACTTTTTTCTTGTTTTATAATTTTTCATTTTTTTATATTTTTATATTTTTTATATATTTTTCAATACACATTTTTTATACGTTTTATAATTTTTATTTCTTTTATTTCGATTTTTATTGTTTTTAGTAATTATGGCAAAATTATTCTATATGGCACATATATGTTTATTAATACATTTAATATTTAAAATACCGGTATTTTAATCCAAACTGAAGGACCACAAAAGTGGTTGTCTTGGTAGACTAAAGGTTAAGGTCGTATAATGAAAATACAGTAATAATACATATAACAGTTATTAATAAATATACATATGATAGGTATACATATATACAGAGTGTCCCAGAATGATCGCCAAATATTTCGTATCCTGGTAAAGCGAACTAAACTGAGAAAAATCCTCTACCATTTTGTAATTTTTGCAATAATTAACAAAATATTAATTACTAAAAATCGCCGAATATTGGTTTTCAATCATTTTTATATTTAACTACCGAGAAAAAATGTTATATATATATATATATATGTATATATATATATATATATATGGATATATATTGTATCAATACTCAGATATTATATTGAAATCTTCTAACACCATTGATTTCATTAAACAATTGCGCCGTTTATCGTTGTTTGACACTCATTAGCCTACTTTATTTATATTTTCATGTTGTTTAAAATTTGAGAGTCCTAATTAATTATTGTTTATAGCGAAAGAACGTCATTTTTCAAGGAGAAGTGTGCATAAACAATAACAAATCATTTATTCGACTTTTGCTTTACAAAAAAAAAACATTCGTAAAAGAATGTCGAAGAAAATCTTTTTTAAGTTTTTTTTTCGATAAAACTAATAAATATATATCTTTATAGATATTTTTTTGTTTTGCCGAAAAAAAAAAAATTAAAATAAAAATTATTTCGTCATGTTTTAGAAATCTTTTCACTTTGTCAAAAAGGTGATCCGAAAAATATCTTATAAAATAATGCTTATATGAATACAAATTTAAAATTAATAAAAGAAGCGCTTGTAAGGTCAACTGAGTTCTTTTCATATTTTTTGTGAATTTGGGACTAAAACACATATCTCTTTCACGTATGATACAAGCGGGGGACACATTGTCTTGGTGTGCAGTGTATAAAAAGCCGATACGATAAAAACAATAATAAATTTAACAAAATTAATCATATTATCAATAGTAATAAAAATAAGCAAGCCCATCAAAGCCGCAACATCAGTTGTTCGGATGCACAATTTATTTTCGTGTTAATTTAATAATTCATATCCAAATTAATAAATATACGTTTCGTCTCTGACTGTCGACTCCACAAGATCTTGATGTCGGTTTTGAATATAATGCTATATTATATCTGACAATTTGATGAGCAATGTGTTCTACTTTTTGACATAATGTATTGGACTCCGTTCTCATTTATCTAACTTGGAAATTGGATAAAGAAGAATGAGCTGTATCGCAGTGGTGGAATTTGCGTATAGTATGTAAGCGGAGTTAGGTTTATATTAACATGAAATAAATTAACATGAAAATAAATTGTGCATCCGAACAACTGATGTTGGCTTTGATGGGCTTGCTTATTTTTATTATTATTGATAGATTCTTCCAAGCCTTATTTTTAGATATTTCTTAATCATATTATGTAAGAGAAAAATCAACAAAAAAAATATCAATTGAGAAATTACATGCGACGTATTGACATTTACAAAAAAGATAAACATATAAAGTAGTTATTTTTTAAGTTTATTTATTATATTTGTATGCTCGACATATAAATTATTCCGTATTTTTTCACTTTTATTGATAAATTTACACATTTAACATAAAGTTTACATTATACATTTTAACATAGTTACGTAACTCTATTCACATAAGAATTATACAATATATACTATATTAATCTTAGAAATAAATATACGTATTTATCGATAAAAGTGAAGTGAAGAAATAGATCTACTCATATATGTATATAACACAAAATATTGGGAAATATTACAAAAAATTTTTTTTAATATTGTTACAAACATTTTTAAAAAAGTTTTAATAATATTTATATTTAAAGTTTTAACAATATTTATATTTTTGTATTGTTTGACGTCTGCAATTGTATGGGAACTGTTATTTCGATGATCCACAAATAACCCTGAATATTAATAGATGAGTAATTGTGACATATCCGGTCAATAGATATCAAAAAGATGACTTATGTATAGTTTAAATATATTTCTTTCGTAAATAAATCTCAAAATTTATTGTATTTATTAATTTTCACATATGTAAAATGCACCAAACAAAGAACACCAACTATTAATAGTCACACTTAATCGACATCCAACATTCCCAAGCACACAAAGTTAAAAGAAAGTTAAAATTTTATTTTGACGTTATTGTAAGCAGTTAACTATCATCATTGTAATATCGATTTAAGATCTACTTTTGTCCATTATTCTGGATTGGAATTGACTAATTAAGTCGAATACGAGGAGATTTGACTGTGATTGGTCAATTCTCTTACAACTACAATCACTTATGGCTTACGTAATAGCGTTGCAGGCGCTCTCCCCGAATACATCTTATATATTTCAAACCTTCGTTAAATCTCACTGATCATTCGTGCGGAATTCTCGTGGAAAATCAGAGATGAACGTTCTTTTATAAAACTTTAAATTTTGCCCAACTATTTTCGCACAAGTGGAATTCATCTATCAGTGATAACGATTCGCGCAAATGTTCGCACAAGTGAATTTATTTATTAGTGTTAACGATCAGTTTGAACAAATCTTTCGATTCTATCTCGTTCTTTTATTATTCCGTTAATACTTTTTCATTAATTTTTAGCGGGACTCTTTTCTGATATCAGAGAATGTAAATTTACAAAATATTGTTATATAAGTAAAACAGCTTTGTTCTTCTGTATCTCAAAATTGATTTTATAGTACGAATATTATAGTACGAAGTTCATCATTTGCAATAAGGAAATAAAAGTGACTATTATGTCGCA